TAATAATTTGTTTTGATATTATTGTTTTGTATTAACTACTAGACCGCTGGGTCATGTTAAGACCATCTTTTCTGTGTTGCTGCTGGGTTTTTCCATCGCTTTTATGTTACAAATATCAAAACAATAACAAAATATATCCGTCGTAAACTAAACCAAAAACAGCAGTAAATGTTATTGTGTTAACACTGTAAACTTGACAGCTTTTTAACCCGCACCTCCTACTGGTTAAAGCACGTTATTACACGTTTAGAGTCATTGCAATGCAGGTAGATTATGTTGCTTTTTAATGACTGTTTAAAATGCCTTTTTCTTAATGTCTTTCATTTTTGTAAAGTACTTTTGAATGTGTTTGATGAAAACATTTAAATATTAAGAATACATACACAATAGTGGGAAAGTAGAAGGTCAATGATATAAATATAGAATAGAAAATATCAAGGAGATACTGTAAATAATATCTACAACAAAACAGTTTAGTGCCTGATAGGAGGATGTGCAAAACAGACAAACTAATAAGGCTTTATTTAAACATTAAAGAATACTTTAGGCTAAGGTCTTCTTTTAAATAAGAAAAAAGCTTTGGGGGTATCTATCTACAGATACATATTAAGCCTGACAAAGTACTTAACGTCTAATATATTGTATGGTTTGTTTTGGAACTTGACAATCAACTTTCCTGCAATGTTAACTATGTTGAAGCACTTATTTTAACCGATATTATACATCTTTATCATACTCTTATAAGATGTTAGATAGAATAATACATGTGCAGAATATGACAGTTTAATGGTGGAGGTACACACATATTGATAGATGTCTTGTAATGCACTGTTGAGGAACCTGTGATCCAAGTTTTTTTTTTACTTTCAATTTGAGTAAAACATTGAAGATATAGCATTGTATTGTTTTCTTTTTACACTGACTCAGATATAATGAGAAGACTACGTCAGTCGAAGCTCAGCTTTGGTGAGAGAGAGAGAGAGAGAGAAGAGGAGAGAGAGAGAGAGAGAGAGAGAGAAGAGTGAGAGAGGAGGATAGAGAGAGAGAGAGAGAGAGAGAGCAGGGAGAGAGAGAGAGAGAGAGAGCGAGAGAGAGAGAGAGAGATAGAGAGAGAGAGAGAGAGAGAGACAGAGAGACAGAGAGCCAGATCAGATAGATGAGAGAGATGAGAATAGAGAGAGAGAGGGAGAAGAGAGAGAGAGAGAGAGAGAGAGAGAGAGAGAGTAATGTAATGTGTCTATAACAATAGTCTTGTGATGATGTCATAATAACATACAATTGTATAAAACACAATTTGCTTACATCTTTGTTCTCTTTTGAGAATCAAACAAAACAGATTTAAATAAAAAAAGAATGCAAACAAACAAGTGAAATGAACTAAATTGCTGAATTGCTTTTGATTCACTGGCAGGAGCGACAAGTGAAGAGGAGCAAAAAGTGAACAACGAGGGAGAGATTGAACAAAGAGAAAGCGTAGAGGACAGAGAGAGTAATGAACAGGAAGAAGACAGAGAGACTCAAGAAGATGGAAGAGAGGCTGCAGGTTAGCCGTCAGGGCCCTCTGTGAGGGCCTAAGATATTCTACAAAATAATATTTAAAAACATTAAAACAAATTATATATTTTTTTAGTTATATTTTTCATTAGTTTTACCAAAATAACTTGATTTAATTGTATTTAAAATAACATTTCCAAAGAAATAAATCCTTCGAATCTGCCTATTCAGTTTATGTTGGAATGTGAAGGGTTAAATGAAAGAAGCTCGTCTCTGCAAGTTACTGTGAAGAGAGGAGCTGTTGGACGTCCAGGCGGTCCAGCTATGAATTCACAGAGGGCCCCGCTATAGTAACTGAACGAGAGAGTAATGTCAAATGACAGTACAATTGACCAATCATATCTTCCCGCTAAATGGGTGGGTGTTATTATCGCGGACTTTATGACAAGTTCTGCCCGCTGTGAAACGTTTATTGTTTCCATAGCAACAACAACTTCCTGTCAACAGCGTTAACTCGCCTTCAAAATAAAAGCATGCCAAATTACACTTAAGACATACAACTGCAACGAAAGTAACAAACACAATGCAATATCCTTTTCAATTTCAAAGAACACAAATAGGGTTATTTACAGGTGTTGTTTTGTGTGGTAGCGGGTCGCTTTCATTGATGCGTTTTGCACCCCGGGCCGTTGTTTTGATATTCTGCTGAAGTATACGTATACGCTGTGACGTAATAACTCGAGGGAAGGGGTGGGGGTCAGAGGGCCTAGGTATAAAAGTCATGGCTCGCCACTGATGTTGACAATGTTTTGTGATCATTTTAGCCTCTTCTGCATGTCCAGATCATTAATAGTAACAATCAACTGATTATTATTATGTATTACACTTTCAAAATAATTGATGCTGACATTGTCAGCCCACTGACATGGTTTGAAATCGATATATTATCCAATTTGTGACCCCCCATAGGACTTAAAAAGCACCATAACTAGATCATGAAAATCCCAAAGATCTCGGGGGGTATCCCCCGAATTCCCCTAGCATGTTTGGACCTCGGTATTTAGGAAATCCTGGATACGGCCCTGGGCCCAGACCCTAGGGGCTTTTAAATCCACACTGAAGACACACTACTTCTCTCTGGCCTTCTAGTTAGAGTGGGGTCACGACTCCTGACTGTTCCATGTGTTGCTTTATCTGTTGTGATTTATTGTCTTTTATTGTGATGTAAAGTGTTTTTATGTGTTTAAATTACATGTACAGCACTTTGGCTCGACCAAAATCGTTTTTAAATGTGCTCCACAAATAAAATGTGATTTGATTTTGGTGTTGTAGGAGAACTGGAGCTCACTGAACCAAATGATTGTCTGTGTATTCAGCTATTGAAAGGATTGAAGACACAGAGGCCACATCTGAACCTAGTGTGTTTATGCAGTCATTTACTGGTGACAGTTCTAATAAGAAGTACAGGCAGTTAAGGCTGGTCTGCTGAGGTTGTGAAAACAATTATATGGCCAGTTGGCAAAATACTCTAATTATAAAACAATGCCACATTTCCTGACTGTAACACACACTGTTTTGCTTTAGATCAACTTCTGTTTAATTGGTCACAACCCAAAAGAAAGAGAAAACGAAAGGTTATTTAACAATCTGCAGTCATCTTAACATCCTATGCTTCATCCATCACAAGAAAGCAAATCTGAAGGTTATTTCCCTCTGACTAATAATAATGCCAGACTGACATCGCCTTTGTGCTTCTTCAGTATCATTGTTTCTCCTCATTAGAATAGTTCGTGGCCATTCAACTGAAAACGTGTCATGCTCCAGAGTATTCCGGGTCTCAATCTACTCACGTTGTTGAGTTGAGTCAAAGCCAGCTGAAGTTGAGTGAGAGGAGTGATGAAGCGCTGAACTGAAACATGTCATTTAGAAGTGGAGAATGATGTCAGCACCATTCTGTCAGGAGCAGGTATACTTAGAAGTAATCGTTCCTACTCATTCTGCATGCATTGTTGTAGCTCTGAAGCACACGCACTATGATGTGAGTATGAATCAAAGTAAAGACATGGTGGAGAGGATGGGTGGTGGTGCTACAGTGACTCCTGTTGGTATAATGCAGATGGAGCTTCAGGTGGTCCTAACAACAAGTTTACACAACATGTCTAAGGTTCAATTCCCCAACTTGATTTAGAAAATATGTAGTTTAAAAGCAGAAAGGAGTTACTGATAACATCACACATACTCAGGCAAGGATTTATGAAGGGCTTTAAAGGTAGGCTAACAACCAATACAGATTAAAAACATGATTTACTAAATCCATTAGTGAGAGCTATATTCTTTATAAAGGATGGTACTCTGACACATAACTGCCGTTATGCTAAGGGGTCAGAAGAATACCTTCATTCTTACATCAATGTTTCTCTTTCAGCCTTTGTTGATTGGATGTATTTCTCATAGACTGTCAGAACGACATCAAACTCTTGCACATGTATCACAGCCTTTATGCTACAACACTTCCTGTTCAACAAGTCCAGGCCTATGACCCACCATTTCTCTTTCACTTCTGCTAAACACATGCCTATTCTTTGCTTTGTCTATCACGTCAGTCAAAGATCAATCAATCTGACTGGTGACATGATAGACATGTTCATAATGAAGTCCACACACACACACACACACACACACACACACACACACACACACACACACACACACACACACACACACACACACACACACACACACACACACACCACACACACACACACACACACACACACACACACACACACACACACACACACACACACACACACACACACACACACACACACACACACACACACACACACACACACGCATTCAGGAAGCAGAGTGGATTAATGTCCAACATGTGATGATGGCATTTGAGTGAGACAAACATCCTGATATGGCAGCAGCAGCCCTGAATCCTTACTTGTGTCCTACTTCTCTGATGTTTAAAAGCTGGGTCCAATTTTGGGGGGGCTACAAAAATATAAGAAATATAGTGTTTGTGTTCTGAAGTAGCTAAGAAGAGATGTTAAAGATATAAGATGACAGTGCCATTTAAAAAAAAAAAGTGTTTTACAATATTAGAGACGGTACTTGACCCTGAATTATCTGTACGGATTCAATTGGCACAGACCCATTGCCAATCTTTATATTATACTCTATTAAACTATACACAGCACATGTATAGTCACTGATAGTGAGGACTCGTAGAAATAAAACAATGTTCCCTTTGTAATCATTGTCAAGAATCAGGTCATATTCAAGAAGCAGATGTGGAGAGGAGAGGGATGAGGCTGGGTCTGCAGGCAGACGCTCCGTCACTGTCCACTTTAGGGTCTTAATCTTATGTGACAGGCTAATCTAAACCTAAATCTATGTTTTGCTGGGAATGGTCCGATTCCAACAGGCCCCATAAAACATGTGGTAACCTAAGCATGTTAACGTGGGAAGAGCTTTGACACTCTGAAACACATCAGTTCGGAGACTTTGTATTTATTTATATTTGTTGGACATGTGTACAATCTGAAGCTAACGTTTGTCGCTTAAGTTAGATAGTTCATTTATGGTATAGCAAACATCTGCCTTCCGGTTATTGAAATGTCTTTCAAACACTTGGTAGTACTGCACTGTTGCCTTGTCTTGCTAGCTATTTGTAATTGTTGTGGAATAAACGACATACATGAAACTACAAATGTAAGACATGACAAGGACAGCTAGCCACAGCTCAATATGATAGCTGCCTGTCTGTGCAGTTTGGGTCCAACATGCAGACAGGCCTTGAGGAAAGACTTAAAGAATACGTTCCCCACATACACAGGAAGGAGATGTTTGTTAAACATATTCATTTATTTTTGCTGCTCTCATTATTTGATAACATGGGATCATAGAGCTCAACAGGAAGCTGTTCACACCATCGTAATATCATGTATACAAAGTGATCATTTATCAAAGCTGTTACAGCTAACAAGCTTTCAGTTTTAAATGGGCTTTGGGTCATTTCCAAAAGTGTTGATATGGAAAGGCTGATATGAGGCTTACTGAGAGACATTTAGTACCTGCTAACTATTGATCCTAACCCAGGACAGACAACTGACCTCAGAAAATATCTAAAGAGCTTGTTAGCCTGGAGTTAGCCCATTCTGAGAACACATACCAGAGGGAGTAAACCAGTACAGCACACAGGAAAGAAGCTTCCGCTCACTCTCATGTTCACCTTGGCTAGTGTGTCAGTGGTTAGCTAGCCAGCTGCACTAGTTTAGCAACAAGCCTTGCTAGTCACTGGGCCTCGCCACTTCCTGCTGCGCCAGGCTTATCACGGACGAGAGGACAAACTGCTGGAGCCAACTTACTCTTCTGACGTTAACAATAAATAAGATGAATGAAAACAAATTGAAGCACTGTCATCGTCACATGGTTCTTTGGTTGACGGAAATAAAGGGTGACCGGAAATACTGGTGGTCCCTCCGCCCACAGGTGATTATGCATATATCAAATACACCTCCCACATTTAGGGTTATTGTATGTAATAGGTTGGAATAGAGCAAGCATATGTTTAATCTTAAATAAACTTAATACAAGAGACATCTTTGTGACAGCCATCCCTTTGCCAATTTAATTGCATTTCATAAGCCCAAGGACATACATGTTCTATTCGAGTCTTTTCTCAATGCAGACTGTGCTCATGAATAACAATGTGAAGCAGACAGATTCTGAGCGGACACAGATGCGGTGTTACAAAAAGGGAATGCACTTGTGTGTTTATAAGGACTTTCTGATTGCCAAATAGCAACACACACACACGCACAAGGAATGGAAGAGTAGAGAGGAGGCGATGGAGAGAGGGCCAGATACAAGTGTTTTAACACAACGCAACAACCTGAGACTAGTGTGGGGGAGTCATAAGGGTGACAGAGGGAGTGAAAAGGAAAGGCAGAGAGATGGAGAGATCAACAAACGTATATGTAGAGGAGAGAAATAGTGCAACAGAGATAAGTAAAGCCAGAGACCTCTCTCAGCATGGCAGAGAGGAGGGGGGAGAGGAGGTACAAGACAAGAGGAGGAGAGGAAACTGGGAATAAGGGGGAGAAGAGGACAAAGAGGTGAGATAGCAAAATAGTGGAAGAATTGAGACAGAAGAGCAGTAGTGCTTTCATGAGTATGGCTGTGGAACTCCATATCCTGGTCTGTAGATGGGTCTCCCTGTGGGGGACTGAGAATTGGAATACGGGGGCCCGGCGGGGTAGCTGTAGCCCCCATAGCTGTAGGAGGCCGGGTAGGGTGCGGGGCCAACATGAGAGTGGCTGGGGGTGTACTGGCCAAATGCTGAGCCTGGGTGTGGGGCAGGGAAGGAGGGCTGGGTGGGGTAAGGGCAAGCAGCTGGATCCGGAGGCCCAAATGCAGGCCTGGGGCCAGAGAAGCTCCCCGCAGGGGTGAAAGGTGAACCAGAACCTGGGTACGGAGGGAACTGCGATGAGGGGTTGGCTGGGCCGGAGCCTGATGCTGCCGCAGGGGGAGGGTTGGGTTGGGAGACAGGGTAGGGGCTGTAGGGGAGGCCAGCAGCGCCCCCTGCAGACGAGGAGGCAGGCTGCGAGGCGTTCTGGTAGCTGGAGGACTGAGGTTTGGAGTTTGGCTGCTGCGGATTTGATGATGTTGCCGTAGTTGTCTGTTGATTCCATGGGGAAGGTTTGGCAACGGGGTCTTGGCTGATTCCTATTGAGGAGGTCATGGCGTTGGGATTGCCATCGCTCCTCTGTCGTAGGATCTCCTGGAGTTTCTCTATCCGCACTCGTCTTTTGTGAGCGAGGGAGCGCAGGGAGAGAAAGCGATCCAGGAAGCAGTCCAATGGCAGAGAGCCCTCCAGAAACTCATCAGCTAGAGCCTGCACACAGACGCACAACAAGGGACAGAAACACTTACTGCTAAGCAGCTAATCCGAGTAACAAGTACTGAACTCCCCCCAAACAAGTTCTCAAAACTCCTCCCCCCACCCAGGAACTTCTCAGTTTGTCTCCTGACGTCTAACAGGCTGCTCACACAGCAAGAGGCTGCTGCCAGTGAGAGAGGTTCCATGTCCTATCTACTTCCTGGTCTTACTGCTCAGAGGAACAGTGTGTACCCCTGTGCTCCTGTGGTGGACTCCTCCTTAGTACCTTAATAATGATCAGTGTGCTCATTGTTCTAATAAAACTGTTTCAACTTTGCATACTATAATAAATAATAAAACACAGTAAACTGTTTGTTACTGGGGGAACTAACTGTGGGTGAGGCAATAAACAACTTACTGTCAGAAAACAACTGTCTGGCAGGAGCAGGGCATGTAAATCATGATGGGCAACTACTATGTATACTGCAGGGCTACAGCTTTATCAGACACTGCCTACTATCTGTATTTGTACGTGTGAATACTATGAGGGGCCGTACACGCCGTAATTCATACTGGTCCTCTCACGCACATACATTCTCCTTTTACACGCGTATATATATTGTCACTCACACATTCATACATTTTGTTCTCATATTGATATATGTTAATGCTCATATTTATACATTTTGTTCTTATGCACATTCATTCAATGATTACATTTAATATTATAAATAATATGTGCATGTATGAAGACAATGTATGTATGCAAGAGAAGAATGGGTGTATGTGTGAGAGAAAGTGTAGTGGAAACGGAAGGCAGGTCATTATTGCGCTGTGCGAAGTCACGCCCATCTACTTCCGCCCCATGGGACATTATTTCTGAAAAATAATGTATTGAAGTCAATGGAGAGAGAAAACGTATCTTTCGATCCCGTTTGAATTGTGCCATGAATTACACATATGATGTTTGTCAATCTTAAAAAATCATTTCCACGTCAAAAAAGTCACAGTTTGTCGTAAAACTGTTGAAATATAAGACTATGAAAAACACGCAACTAGAAAGACTACAAATCCCAGAGTCGCGTAAGTGATGTCACAATTGTTTTCCTCCACTAAGAGATAGCTAAAATCAGCGCCATATAGATATAATCTATCTATATGGCGCTGGCTAAGATAAGAACACTTTAACAAGATGCCTGTGTGCTTAGTACCAGGTTGTTATCATACCAGCAATGGGTCTTGCTCGTTCTTTCGCTTCCCGTCTGTTGAAAGGACCAGGAGTGGCTGGATCAAGTTAGCTACCTAGCTAGTAGCTAGCACGTTAGTTAGCATTACAGCCTTGTCATTTTTATTAGCCTTAACATGAAGTAACATCAAGTAACCCAAAGTGTTAAACAGTAAGAGTAGTAGTCATATTTCGTGAACCCTTTGAAGAGTACTGTCACCGGTGTGATCATTCTATAATATACGCAAAATGCTTTTCATCATTGTTCCACAATGTTTATCATCATGAAATTAATATCTATATATTTTATACTATACTTGCACTGCTTACCGTTTTCATACTTTATATATCTTAGCATATTCATACACACTGTTCATACTGCTCACAGGCTGATATCTAGTGTATTCATACACACTGTTCATACTGCTCACAGGCTGCTGTGTATATCTAGTATTCATACCCCTCACTGTTTATTCATCATTCTATATTTTATTCTGTAGATTGTGTACATTACTTTTCACTTTACTGCTTGTTGCACCTGGTTAGAAGCTAAACTGCATTTCGTTGTCTCAGTACCTGTAATCTGTGCAATAACAATAAAGTTGAATCTAATCTTGAGCAGGAACAAATGTATTTACTTAGTACATATCTGACATTAACAATTAAACACATGTGTGCATTCTTTATAAATGCAAACCGAGTCAAGCCAACTCCGGAGGTGGCGGTATGCACCTTAAAGTTGTTTGCAATCTGCCAAAAAACCGAGAGAAGAAGAAGAAGAAGAAGAAGAAGAAGAAGAAGAAGAAGAAGAAGAAGAAGAAGAAGAAGACTATATGAATATGAGAACAAAATGTATGAATGTGTGAGTGACAATATATACGTGTGTAAGAGTGATAATGTATGTGTGTGAGAGGACCAGTATGAATTACGGCGTGTACGGCCCCTCATAGAATAGAACAGGACTGACATTACCCTTATGAAGAAAACATAGCCCTCACATTTACATTGAGATGTGGTGCAGGGAATAAATGTGTGTGTGTACCTCGGACTCTCCCTCCGATTTGCTGCCCTCTGTCTGCAGTCTGGAGAACAGAGCCTCTGGGGACAACTGACCCACCATCCCATCTGAGGAGGAGACAGAGAGAGACGCAGGTTATAAGATGTATTTTCAAATTCAGTTTTCTTTTTAACATTTTCTAGAAAAAAGCTCGGGGTACCACTTGATTTAAAATATGCTGCAAAGCTTATTTAAACGTCTTTCTCAATCACGGCCAAAGTAGAATGGTGATCTATTATTGAGTCGTTTATGGGCATAGATTTGTCTCATAAATATTTGTGAACATAAAAATAATTTGTGTGTAAATATGTGATTTGTAAATCACCATCCACAAATGCATGTAAAAGATTTGCAAACTCACAAATAAATGTGCAAATGTAAAACGGATCTGCAAATACGCTAAATATGTTCACGAATAAAAAAAAGATCTGTGAATACTATAATTAATTTACAAATAAACAAAAGGAATCTGTGAATATCTCTTTAACATTGACAACTTTCGATCAGGCATTCATGAATCCATTTTGTATTTGTCAACCAAGAATGCGCTTGTGGATCTCACATCTCCGCTTGTGGGTGGTCTTTTTACACACACTGAGTTTGGAGACAAACTTCCCGCCGGTCTCGACCGAAATCTGCTCGTGTCACTCGGTTATTTTCGGAAACCACGTGATGGCCTGCTGATGACGACATTTCAAGGTTTCAAAGTAAGAGCACGATGGTTTGTTTAATGCGCCGTTTTTGTATTACTATAAAGAACAGCAATACGTTCAGTGCATTCTTTATCACCATCATGTTATAGTGATACAGTTAGTTTGTGTTAGTTTATTTGTTCAATACAGCATATTTCGAGCACATTCGTATGCATTGATGTTGAAGTACTCAGGCTACGCCACTTTCGGGTCCCGGGGGCTACAGCTGCAGCGAAGCAGCCCAGAGATAACTCTTTCTTCATATTGTTTGTGTATTCAGTCAAGCGGGTCAAAGTTACAAAGCACTTCACATCTTATTAATCTGTAGAAAAGCACCGTATTAGGTTAGCCTTCACAGTAAGGCTAAATGTTGTAATATTCATCGTGTCCTTTCTACTGTTTATGTATATTCCTGTTTATTGCTTTTATTTGTATTAATTGTATTATGTTAATACTTGTTTTCCACACATTTCCCAATTTGCCTACTGCCTGCCTACTTATCATTGGGAAATGTGTGGGAAAAGGTGGAAAACAAGAATAAACATAATACAATTAAATACAAATAAAAGCAATACGCAGGAAGTATATATACACAGTATACAAAATGAATATTACAACATTTAATGTAGCCTTACTGTGAAGGCTGACCAAAATACGGTGCTTTTACCTTACCACTGCACTGGTATGGTAAAACTAGGCCGATTAATAACATGTGAAGTGCTTTGTAACTTGATGGTGATAAAGAATGCACCTAATGTATTGCTGTTCATTATTGTAATACAAAAACGGCACAATAACCCTCTTGAGTCTTTTTTAGATGTCTCCTTAAATCACCTTTTAAATGTTATACATGGCACCCCGTGTGTTACATATCAAAGTGTTCAGGACAGTCTCTGTTCTAGGTATAAAGTCACTCACCTTAGAGCACTGTGTGATGAGATAATTAGCTCTAAAGCTGAACATTTGACATCTGATTTTTTTTAAATCTTCAAAACTCTTGTGAAAACACAGATTTACTCATGTCATCCTTTTTTCTGGTGGTTTAGATTTGGTTTATCAAAGTCTTAGGTTCACAAAAGTAGTGTAATATATGACTTACACTGTATATACATTTGTAATTCATGTCTAAAATGAAAATGTTTAAATTCGAATTTTGAGTAAAATAGTTGTTTATCAATTGACTTTCCCCACAGAGACACATCAGGACTGAATGACTTCATATGAAATACCAAGGTTGTGTGATGTGTACAAATACAAATTCAGCATTAGAACTCTTTTCCAACCAACAATTTATTATAAATATGTTTTTTTTTTCAACCAACTATTTATAAAAATATAAGAAACTGGAAAATCTTACAATTTACAATATCAGAACTCTTTCTACAAACAACTCATTATAAATGTAAAGACAGGGGGAGCAGTGGCAGGTTCTTTGTCTGTCTTCCAAGACAGTGGGGCTGGCTGCTGTGCAGGTGGGGGTGATGGTGCAGGGCTGCTGGTGGCTGTGTGTTGGTGTACGTTTGATTGTCCCGGGTTGATGCTGGTGGCTGTGTGGGGGGTACGTGTGCTCTACGAGACCTCCTTGCTGGCCGGGTTGATGCTGGTGGCTGTGGTGGAGGCCTTTGTGCCGAGGTGTATCTTGACCTGGGGCAGGCACAGTTGGAGGTTCTGGCTCCTGGATAACGCCGCCTGTGGGCCGCCAGGCCCAGGCAGATGTGAAACCTCTCTGTAAAACAAATTAAAATGTAGGACAATAATTACAACTAAGTTCATTGAAATAAAGTTCAAGTGGCATGTTGCTTAATAACAAGGCACAAGGCACACACACACACGTAAATAAATCTATAACAAAGTCCCCTCTGTACAAAACAGTCAAATACATGTCTATAGCCACTGTAAATGTCTCCGTTGTCGGACGAATAAACGATAATCTTTTCATCTACACATGTAACCTCAGTTTTACATATCAAAATAACTTTTACACATAAAAAACGATAACACAGAGTAAAAGTTAACTATTTGAGAGTCTATTTTGTCCCAAGAAAAAGTTCAATAAACCTATTGTTCATTTTTGCGGTATTCCACACAAAGTGAAAGTACACTATTGCTGTAATATTTACACTTACCCATGTCCAAATGGATCCTTGTTGTCCCTGTATTCTTCTTCTTCAGAAGGGTCGAAGCCTTCTGGTTCTGATGCTCCATTGTCACGAGTGCTAGCGAAAATAATCTCCAGCGCGTCCGTAACCGTTATGTCATTTTCTCAGTCTCTCTCTTGTTTCCTCACATACGTTAACTGATGGGAGACACGTGGTTTATGTTTTGTTCTTGGTCGGTAGGTCCTTAGTGATTTCTTGAGTGTCCATTTGTCATTTCAGACCAGCATAGCTGCAGCTGCCCCGGCCGAGATTTACTTGACCGACATACGATAGAACCAAATCCCACACAGTGTAACGCAAAGTCAAGCTGCTTTGAGCGGCCTTATTGGCTGCTGTGAGTCGTCGGGTAAAGTCTCACAATAGGTACCGCTGGAGAACTACAGTTCTAGCGATTCGGTGGTTATCTGCATGATATTTGTACTCCTTATAATCAAAAAGATCTAAATAAATACTTCGACATGGCGCTGCGAGCGTCGACTCCAGAGGGAAGCCATCATGCTCTTACTTTGAAACCTTGAAATGTCGTCATCAGCAGGCCATCACGTGGTTTCCGAATATAACCGAGTGACACGAGCAGATTTCGGTCGAGACCGGCGGGAAGTTTCTCTCCAAACTCAGTGTGTGTAAAAAGACCACCCACAAGCGGAGATGTGAGATCCACAAGCGCATTCTTGGTTGACAAATACAAAATGGATTCATGAATGCCTGATCGAAAGTTGTCAATGTTAAAGAGATATTCACAGATTCCTTTTGTTTATTTGTAAATTAATTATAGTATTCACAGATCTTTTTTTTATTCGTGAACATATTTAGCGTATTTGCAGATCCGTTTTACATTTGCACATTTATTTGTGAGTTTGCAAATCTTTTACATGCATTTGTGGATGGTGATTTACAAATCACATATTTACACACAAATTATTTTTATGTTCACAAATATTTATGAGACAAATCTATGCCCATACTCGTTGGTCGACTCATTCATTGTGTGCAGCTCCGGAGGGAACAGCATAAGACGCTCAGTCAGAGACGTGCACACATAGACTCTAGGTAGTGCTTGAGCACCTGCCCGTGTGGCCCTCTTGACAGCAATGTGCCCTTTTGAAAGTTCGTTTTTTACAGTTTTTTTTTTTTTTTTTTTACAGTGTACTGTATGTGGCTCATGGTAACATCGATCAATTCTGGATTAAAAGCTTCTAATATACAACAATGCCCCAAATGCGCGTTGTAATTTTGTCAGACATCCCCACACGTGCCCCGCGGCAGTCCCGTACGTGCTCTGGCTGCAGCCCCTCCCTTCCCTGCTCTCAACGTGAACGCGCAGCGCGCAGAGCTGACAGTCAGTCAGTCAGACAGGCCACGGCGGGTGTGTGGTGCAGCAGCACGCAGCAACACGATTAAAAGTGCCCTAGTGACGACCAAGTAAGTAACCACCAGGTAACAAATACAATGAGTGTATTGTTTAATCCCATAAATCAGATGCCAAACTAAACTATACAGGGTTCGTACGGTCATTGAAAACCTGGAAAAGTCATTGAAATTCAAAATGCAAATTCCAGGCCCTGGAAAAGTTATGGAAAACAATATTTTTCCCAAAGTTTTGGAAAAGTCATGGAAATGTAACTAAAGTTGCGTCAAATATAATTTACATTTTATCTAATCGCCGAAATAATCTGCGGTCGCGAGCTGTTATGTGCGCATGGTGTTATTTTTTAATATATGAAGCGCGAGCTGTGTGCTCGAGTCTTCCTGCCTGTCGGCTGAACTCTGCTGCTCCGGGATGAGGGTCAGCTACATTATCTACGGTGTGTTCGTTAACTGTGCAGAGTCACTGTGGCACAGACTGAGCCGCTGGTGAACAGCTGTTAGAACGGGCCGTGCAGGTGTTCAGAGCAGAGCGGCAGAGCGTGATGTGAACTGGAACGTTTTTCTGTCGCAATATCATTGTCACTATCTGCTAACGTTAGCTTTAGCCTTCGTTTTCTAATAGTTTTTTTCATAGGCTATAAACAGAGGTGGTATAAGTATAGAGATTGTAGGCTACTAGAGTAAAAGTAGAAGTATACTCAGATCTTGTACTTTAGTAGAAGTACTCAGATCTTGTACTTGAGTAAAAGTAGAAGTACTCAGATCTTGTACTTGAGTAAAAGTAGAAGTACTCAGATCTTGTACTTAATAAAAGTAGAAGTACTCAGATCTTGTACTTAATAAAAGTAGAAGTACTCAGATCTTGTACTTGAGTAAAAGTAGAAGTACCAGAGTGTAGGAATACTCTGTTACAGTAAAAGTCCTGCATTCAAAATGTTCCTCAAGTGAAAGTAGAAAAGTATTATAAAAATACTAAGAGGCATGAAAATACATTTTCAAAATGCTCAACAGTGCTGCCAAAATTATAAACTGACTGCTACACAATTAAAATAAATGCTTTTATATATTTCTGTTAGATGTAACTCTTTGGCGTTTCTGTTATTATTACCTGCTGCTTTAGTTGTTCTGACTGCTAAAATCCTGTTATTCCTCATTTTAAAGCCGATATTCCGTGGGGTTGGATCCTTGTCACCTTTTTCATACCTGATGAGTTTGCATCCCTGACTACAGTTGCTTCAGCGAGTAGAAGCTAGTAAGCCTACTATCTGATTTGTTTTAGATAGGCATCTGCATCAGACAGCATATGGTTATTGAAATAAATATATATGCAATTACGACATACAAGATGTGCCTTTAATAAATCTCACACTACTAAGGCAGCCGGCGGTTCCACCAGGGGCGTCAATCCCGGGGGGGGGGGGGGGGATTTCGTCGTCCCCTTAGCTTCAGATTGGACCCCCCTAAGTCATTTAGAATAATACAAATAAATGTTAAAATAATTAATTTTTTGATAATAAATCAGTAAAATCAGGCAAAAATAAGAATTAAATAACATAACCCTAACCCTAAAACCGAAATAAAGTAACCAAAAACCGAAAAGAAACTAACAAAATCCGGCAAATTTTTGCGCACAATTTCTGAGCGCACAATTTTGGCGCGACCGCCACGACGACTCAGAAGGTGCCCTTTTTTTTTCTCTTGAGCACCTGCCCCTATAAATGTCTGTGCACGCCACTGTCCTCAGTCCTCTGATCGTTGACAGGGAAACGCTCCCCACAACCCCCCGATTGGTGGTGGAACAAGAGAAGAAAGCTCAGGGCGAGCAGCAGAGGGAGGGCCCTGGCCTGGGACACACACACACACACACGCTTCATCCTAAGAACTTATTAAGCTCCGCCCTTGTAAACACAAGCGAGGTATGTGAGAACAGAGGAGTCCTCAGGTCTGACATGGATATCGTTCACTTTTAAAAACATGCACCACCTTATCACTTTGAAACTCGGCTGGGTGACATGCTGTTTGATACTCATGGTACCTGTCTCTGTGAATAGAGTTTGTAAACTCTACCCTGCACATCATGTTGTTTGTCATCCTTATTGTTGTTCTGTTGTTTTTATGTTACATGTGTAACTAATGTCCTGCAGGTCACCCTTGAAGAAGAGATCTTTTGATCTCAAGGGGCTTTCACCTGGTTAAATAAAGGCTACAAACAAACAATCATAGACTGTATATGCAAAGGGCCTAACTGTTAATATTAGATGTTAATTGAAATGTTTAATCCATCTCTCAATGTCTATATTTATGAGACATTTACTGTATATTTCCTTTACCATTAAAACCAGCTGGAATATACAATATATTTTTCAAACTTCAAAGTGTCTGACATTTATAATAACCTCAATAACTAAACATACGCCTGGGACCAAAGCCTTTCTCAACATTATAGTGTGTGGTTTATTCTATTGTGTTTGGGTAAGGAGAGTATGTTAAATTCATTCATTGTTCAAATGAATGTATATTCCACAGCCAATGTGGTTTCATGTATTTCACTCAGTAATCATAATGTCTTAGCTCTTTCAGGTGGACTGCAGGAGAGCTTGGAAACATTGTCTTTGTAGTGACATTTCCACAGTTCGAACCGTCACAGCTCATGGGTCACTGGTTCCTCTCCCATTCATTTCTCCTCCCTGAAGATCAAGACTCACTTTGTTGTCCCGCACTGTAGATACCCCTCCCTTCCACTGACCTCTGAGGGAGCAGTGTTGTCTGTAGGTTTCTCTGATGGCTTCTAGCTGAGAATATCTCTCCACCAGCACCTCCTTCTCTGACTCCACGCGGGGCTTCATGTCCAGGTTCTGCTCAGCCAGGCTGCGGTTTGAGGCCAGGGCCATCTCTCTCTCCAGCTGGATGTTCTGGATCTGAAGGGAAAAGGAAAGGCTTATGGCAGTTTGACATTTTAGGATATTTCTAGATAGCACTACATTTAGAGGGGTATTTCTGTTCATGTTTTGCATTGCAAATAACAGTATGTAGTGTGTACAACTGGGTCAATATCATAACATTCAAACGTTCTGTTAACAGGGCGCTTCTCCTTATCTGCTGCTAGGATCAGAACAGCGGCTGTTGTTTGTATGCTGTACAGATGTATTTTGGGTTTATCTTCGAAGAAGAAGAAGCAGTGCATACGTGAATGGTGTGGAAGGTGAAAGAACAACCTTAACAAAAAATTGGAAATCAAATAAAGGTCGAGCAGCATATTGCCAATAGCAAACTGACAAAACCCTCTATATCTGATGTAGCAGCCTATTATGTTTATTGTTGGCATGTCAATTTGTTTTGTTGAGATTTATAATGCAATTGTATTGTTGACACTTGGTGGCGGGGATTAGCTGCACAGGGTTAGCCAAGAGGAGAGCCACAGGAAAAGCTGCAGGGGAAGAATGTGAACTATTGTTCTTTGTACTTCTGATATGGGATCAACGGCATAACATCCACATAAAGTACCTTCTCTTCTGGCTGGATCATTGATTACCTTGAGTACCCTGAGTACGATCTGCTATCTGGTGCCTCAGCGGCAGTTTTACTTTTCATCTCATTGTTGGTTTTATTTCTTTATGATTTTTGCTGCTACATCTGATATATTACACAAATACAAACGGTGATTAAGGGTATTGAGTTGTATTCAGAAATACAGGATGGCTTGCAAAACACATTCACAAATGTGTAAACTAATCTAGAGATCTGACTATAATTAGATGTTTTGGTAAGCAGGCTAACTTTGATATTGTATCATTATACAATATGAAAGTAATGGGTCATTACTCACAGCAGAAGTAACTGTATGAGCAATGTATTACTTTAAGTCTCAGCAGTGCCTGATTGATCACATCATAGATATGATCACATCTTATGTTCACTCCTGTATCAGCTGCGTGAGCCAGATGTTGCCGCGCACTTACAGTGCCGCAGAATGATGCATTATAAGTGTTCATTTACTAAAAAGAAAACATGATTTTATGTACGCAGCAAGTGGTTTTAAGATTTAAAACAATATTTAAGATGATAGGTGCTGGACAGAAGAACATTTAAAGTAAGTAAAAATAAACTACACGTTAGTTAATGCTTTCAGGAAATGTTTATAACCCACTGTCTTTAAGATATGAAAGTAAGCCTGCTTACCGCATTGTACTATTTATTTAGATAAATAAAACAGAGTGTAGCTTATATTCTATTGCATAAGAATGCCTTCAAGCAACACATTCATTTAAAAGAATACTTCAATGTAATTGAATTCGGATCTCCTCGTGTCTTTGACAGGGCAATGATATTATAAACTGTTTCATTTCAACATTCACAAAGCCTGGATTGAATGTACACAGTATGCTTGTGCACGTTTTGAATGGTCATATTCATATAACTCTGCCCTTTTTATGTGAACACACTCATATCCAGACTAAGAAACCCTGGCCTGACTAACCAAGTTGATAACTACCATCGTAGTACAGTTTAGCAGGATTGCATCTTTTAGGGTTAATGAAGCCAGATAGCACAAAGATATCCTGGGTATACTATGTTGAACTGTGAGCGGTCTTTATTTCAAGTGCAGGGTGTGTGAAGGAATACAACTAAAAGGGCCACACACTTACATAAGTAGGAGATGTCCATTACAAACATATTTTTGAACATTTCTCCACAGTGGTTACAAGGGAAAGCCTTATTTACTCACTCCCCCCTCCAAGACTGTCCAGTCACTTCGGGGTTTGAAAAACAACAAGCAGTTTTAGAACTGCATTTTGGATGGTTTGTGTTTTTTTTACAAACACTCTTTTTAAGAAAACATATTTAAGAAATAATTAATCAAATCCACTCTCCATAAATTCGTTCATCTTAGCTCGAGCTTATTTGAAAGCTATGACATACTGTATTGTAAAAATGGAAGCCTTATATGATGTAAATCCCCACGTTTTACCTCGTCAGACTCCAGAGCCATAGACTCTACCCTCTCCGGGTTGTCCAGGAGCTCCTGGAGCTCTGATTGGCTCAGGTCCTGGAGCTTCTCCATTTGATTTGCCAGGATGGCTGTCCGTCATAAAGGAACCAGGAAATAAGAGTTAAAAACAATGTTTTGAAACGGAAAGTGATAGTCAAAGGCCTAACGTTTATATTGTAACGCTCCTAACCTTTAATAGACAACGATTAGCAATGTACTAATCAAGACATTGATAACAAATCAAGACAAAACAGACCCTGTCCCCTGCAGCCACTCCCTTAATAAAATAGCAACCGATGGTAACGTTATATGACACAATTCGGCAATTCTGGTCAAAAGTAAACGCTGGTGATTTCGAATGCTACATACCGTACACTGTTTGTTTACTTTACAGCTTTTATTTAAAAAGCATTCATTCAAACTATCGAGGCAAGTGACTGCAGGCCACGAACAGAACAGGCTGTTCAGACGATCACTGGACAGCAGAGCAACAACACGGCGGAAAATAAAGTGGTACTTACATGACGTTAGCAAACCCAGTTCAGCCTGACACTGACTGCTGGTGACATCCAACACCACCTCGGTATTTCCACTGACAGCTGACGTGACACGTCCTCAGAATCTCCGACCAGCCCTAACTCAATCCCGCTGAACGGAATGCTGTCGAGTCCTTTTTCGACGCACTTAAACCGGCAAGCCAGCTAGTTCCTCGGCCGACATGCAGTCCACCCTGACGGCTCAGCTTCAGTGATCTGATGACAACAGTCCGTATAAAGCCAATGTCAGGCACTGACACTCCGAGGGAAGCCCAGCAATTCCGCGACGGAAAACGGAGTCAAGAATGTCTCCACTCGCTCCTGACGAAAACTGTCCAACGCCTCTGTATTCCAGTAATGCTTACTGTAGTAAACAGAAGAGTTCAGTTGACCTATAACGACAGAAAATGACCAAATGTTGGCTAAAAATAGGAAAGTTTCACTCCACACTGACAAAAACGGCTGCCATTTTAGGAACCATCGACGTTCCACGGTTTGAGGGGGGGGGGGGGGGGACACATTTAAAATATTTTTAACAACACCGTTAAACCTTAACAAACTCCTAGTGTATATTAACTATATTCAAATACTTACTGTTGGGTAAACATTTTTGGTGTGTATATGTTATTCCTGGGCCCGTTATCCCTCTGGTGTCCCCTGTGTCGCAGGGTAATGGTAGGTTCCAGTGCTCAGCTGATGTAAGGGAAACCCCTGTGACGGTAATGTCCGATCTACTGCAGCCAGTGCTACTGTCAATGGATACCTTTACAAATGGCTACGTATTTTTCATTGAGCCACTCTTTCAAAATGCATTAACTATTATATCATCTAAATTCAACTACCTCCTAATTTGCACGTTTACAGCTAGGCCAATATTCTTAAAATCAAAATCCGAATCGGATTTATTACCAAGTAGGTTTACACATACGAGGAATTTGCTTTTGTATGGTGCATATAAAGACACAGAATGAAGAAATCTATTATAACAAATTCGCAATTTTTACATATGATATGACACATACTATAGGCCTACTGTATTTAAAGTGGAGAGCTGTGCTGTTTAAAAAGAGGTAGTGTGGAGAAGAAATGTGCAACAAGATGTTGTTTGCATGATGTGATGTACATTATTGTAATGCATAATGTTTATCTGGGGTGGATCAAAGTCAGTGTCAGTGGGGGTCGTGGGCCTTGTTGATGAGGCCGCTAGAAGAGGGGAAGAAACTGTTGGTGAGAGGTTTTGGTCCTGATGGAGTGCAGCCTCCTGCCAGAGGGGAGCGGGACAAAAAGTTTGAGTCCAGGGTGGGAGGGGTCGGCCATAATCTTCCCTGTAGTGCAGCGTATCAGATGGTGATGGAGGAAGTGAGGATGGACTCGATGATGGCGGTGTAGAAGTTCACCACAACCATCTCCACCGTCTGGAGACCATTGATCTCCAGACGGTCGATGTCCCACCTGTAGGCAGACTCGTCCCCAGCGATGACGAGTCTGCCTATTTGTCTACCTGGTGATGAAAACGGTCATCTAATAAGGACACACACTGAACACCTCATTTAATTCCTTGACTACCTTGAGAGAAGACTTATGCTAAGTATTTTTTATCATACCTTTTAAAGGAAGCCAGCCATATTATAATTTGCCCCAGTTTCACAAGTAATCTAAAATGTTGGTAACCTGAAACTGTCTGGCTGGTCCATGATATTTGTTACCAGAATTTTGGGGGGGAAAAGGGGGAGTGAGTCTGTGGAGTGGGTAATTTTTTCTTTGACCTTTCTCTCCATTCATCAACCCCATAAAGGAGGCGTAATGTTTATGACCAGCAGCCACATGATCATGTCTCTCTCAAAAGGACTGAAAAACTTCACTTTTCATATGCACAATATTTATAGCAGTGTTGAGTGGAGTGTGGGGGTGAAGTGGGTATTTGAAGGTGTTGTGGAGATCCAGCACTCACACAACAGGAAAGAATGAAACAGAGAGGAATCAATAAAACACAAACACAGATATAGCTGATCAGTAATTATTATTTAGTTGTTGCAACAAACAAACAATAATGGGAAGTACATCACCTGCTGCCACAGCAGCCAATCGCGGAAATGCCCCCCAACATAGCAACAATCATACAGCATATATAGCCACTGCAATGAACACACACACATTTTCCCTAACCATGTTTAACGTACACACATTTTTATCATGCAGCCTACCACACAAAACGTCACATGTTTGTCCCTCTGAATGCCACACTTGTATATGTTTAAAAGTCATCATCTCATGACATCCTTAGGATTAGTTAACTAACAAAGGTTAACTGTTTTTATAACCTGAGGCCTTCTCTGAACTTCCTCTAACCTCGGTGTCAGCTCACTTAAAATTAATACATCTATTGATAATTCAGAACGACCATTGTCTCTCTAACTGTGTGTGACCCAACTCAGTAACACACATCATATAGCTTAGCATGTGATCTCTAATACATATCAGAAATACGCTGTATTAAACATTTTGTTATAACACTCCCTCCTTTTATTAAGATCACATCATCAAAAAACTATTATTACAAGTAACCTACTGAGTTCCGCCCTCGAAAGCCCAAAATGACTTTCTGAAAAACATTTATCAAGGGGTAATCATTTCACTCAAGGCAGAAGTCACAGGTCACCTGTACTGTACTCTCAATAGAAAAAAAAACACCTTTTTGATTATAACACAAAGAGTGGAAGAAAAGACAATTGCGCTAATACTCTACTTAAATGGAAAATCATTTAAAAACCTCAGTATGTTTAAGAGGAAAAAATCGATTTGTCCCATTCAAGTTTAACACACTTATACATACATAGTGAAACATCTTCCAAAACACTTGTAACTGTAACTGTTGTCCACTCTGTTATATTGTCCAGTAAACACTTCTTCAGGGTGTGCACGTTCCGATCTCCATGCGTAGCCTTTAGATGGAATATCTATCTTAGCCTTCAGGCTGTAATGTCCCATCTCATAGCAACATCCATCGATGACATCTGAAGCAACATCATTACCATTTGAATTGGACGGAACTGTAGTCAGAAAACTGAGACTTCTGTAAAAGAACAGTTAACGGTAGATCTTCTATATGTTCTCTGGAGTGTTGAGGTTACTAATATACTTGGCTGTAAATCATCTCAGATGTTTTGGGTTTTGTTCTTCGTGTTGACCCAAACCCATAAGACAATAGCAGTAGAAGAATAGCTGGAAGTCATCCAGCTGCCCTCATTGACACTCGAGTCTGCCTCAGAATGATCCATCTTCCCTCCTCAAGATTGCAAGGGAAAAACAGCTTTGACCTGGGTAGAAAATAGCACTTGCATTCTGGGTTAACAGCCTACAGTCGACCACTAGGTCTTAGAGTCTTATCTATCATTTTTAAACTTCTTGAAACCATGAAATGTTGTTTGTGTTGTGTTTTTACTTACCCACAATTTCCTAAGCACACAACAAACATCTCCTGCAACATTGTTCAGCCATGGTGCTGAAACCAATCAGATCCCAACTTTGAACAATACATTTAATCATACCTGTCTTAGCAGAACCCAATCGAGAGCTTGACCATGTGGGAACACGTTTTTTAGGCGAAAAGTTGTTTCATTTGCCCTCTGGATCAGGGGTTCCCAACCGTTTTTCCCAAGAGTCCCCCCAAATGACTCCTGTTGGAAGTTGCGCCCCCCCCCCCCCCCCCCCACACACACACACAAAGGGGGGGGGGGCGCAGGGGCGGTTCTAGGGGGGGGGGGGCAGTGCCCCCCTAACACTGACCTCTGACCCCCCTGTGGCCCCCCTAACAATGAAAAGTCTTTTTTTTTCTTTTTTTTTAAATGTATATTTTCTGGTACTCGGTTTGCCAAAAAACGCAGGATTTTGTTGCTGTAATGTGAGATTGTGCAGACACCCTTATGTAAAGTAGAGATGTAACTGTTCATTGCCTTTATTTTTATATAAATATGGTGTTAGTGCAAACATTGCACTATAACTTAAGCTGAAGCTAACAGTAATAACTATAAGATCTATCTGAAATAAATAAATGTACTGAAACAAATACCAATAACTGTATTGCATTGTTTTCTTATGCACAATTACTTCATACTGTCTAGTTCTCTTTTTCATCCTGCATTTATTGTGCCCCCCTCAGAAAATAGCTGGCCCCCCAGTGGCCCCCCCCCCAGTCAAATTGGTCTAGAACCGCCACTGCGCAACAGCTACAACTACTGTCACAAACTGGATGAATGTGAAGTATTTTGTTAAAGGGGGATGAAAGTGTAATTAAGGAGCACTATTGGAGTGACTTTGATGGTTATTGGACTCAGGATTCATTCATTTGAATTCCCGCTGTATGAAGAAATAAAAGGACGGCGCAAGTGGAAACAATTCACAAAGGGATTAAACTGTAAACCGGATTTTGCCAATGTGTTTATGTGGATTCAAAAGTCGTAAATAATCTACAAAATGGAGGAGACAGATCTGGTCGGAGCAACTGTGACGAATAATCCAACTGAAATCAGCATGGACAATGACTATGTTTTAAAAATGCGCTTATCCAGAAAAGCCTGGTTTGGACACTTTACGGGCAGAAGAAACATTTCTATTAAAGAAAGAATTATACATTTCTGTCTTTTTATGCCTTTAATAGCTACTAACTTGAATTTGTATTCAAATTAATTAATCAATTATTTTTATATATTTTATTGTAATGTAGAGACAAGGCTTTTAGTGACAATCATGTATTGCGTTACAATTATATGAAAAAAAAAAGTCTAAATATGATATTTGGCCTCAAATCATCTGAGGCCTGGCGCCCCCTTCCAGCGATCTTTGGTGCCCCCCCCCCAAGGGGGGCGCGCGTCCCAGGTTGGGAACCACTGCTCTGGATCATGTGAGGGTTAAAAGATTCACTTGACAAGATTCAAAAGAAATCTGAAACCAATGTGTCTCAGAAGAAATAATGAAACATTTCACCTGGGATGGAAACAAAATATTATCAAATACATCTTAAAATTCAATTACTAAATTGAACAATAAACCCATTATACCCTTCCTGGAAACATGGTCCTCCAAACCATAGAGACCATGTTTCCCAAATAAGATACTTCAGAGTACCCATCTTCACATACAACGTCATTTCAAAGTCCTATGACTCATCATCAGGAACACCTAAAACAAAGAAAAAAACTTTCTCCTGTCAAAAAGAATCAGCAATGTTAAAAATCAAGCTACACAGTCATCAAGCCATGCAGGGATCATGCAGAGTCAGACAAAGTTCATGCGCCATGTCTCACAATAGTTCAACTAATATGGCAGTCAGAAAACCACTGCCAAAAGCATTGTGTGCATCCCAAAATAAAATCACCTTGTCGGTGGGTCGATGCTCTCTATGGAGCACCTGTAGAAGGTCAGGATGCTCTCTATGGAGCACCTGTAGAAGGTCAGGATCCTCTCTAGCACCTGTAGAAGGTCAGGATGCTCTCTATGGAGCACCTATAGAATGTCAGGATCCTCTCTATAGAGCACCTGTAGAAGGTCAGGATGCTCTCTATGGAGCACCTGTAGGTCAGGATCCTCTCTAGGGTGCACCAGAAGGTCAGGATCCTCTCTATGGTGCACCTGTAGGTCAGGATCCTCTCTAGGGTGCACTAGAAGGTCAGGATCCTCTCTATGGAGCACCTGTAGAAGGTCAGGATCCTCTCTATGGAGCACCTGTAGAAGG